CTCAGAAGTCGTCTCCTCTTCTTCTTCCTCTTCTGGGGATGATGTAAGGAATCTTAGCTTTCTTTCTAGCAAAGTTGAAATTTGGAAACCCATGTCTGTTAATGAATATTGTACTTACTTTGTTCTTGTTGCGGCTGCGATCATGATTGATCTAGCCGGCCTCGATGATATCCCGGACGGTACTTTTCCACGCGTGACGATCCGTGGCAGCAGACCTAGACTGCTCGATCTATTCTCTTCGTCAGCGCCGGAGACCGAATACCGAAGGTTCAAGAACCATTTCCATGTCCCGAGGGATTGAGTCTAGCCAGCCTTTGAAGTGAACCCTCACCCCTTCGACGGTTCCAGTTAGGGAACGGTTTCGGGTCTAGGGAAGTAACACCGAGCTCATGAGGTTGACGAAGAAAACGTATTCAAATCCCCTCATTCGTCATTCTTGGATGGCCTGGAATATCCTTGCGATGTTTTCGTGGCGAATGCGGACTCGTCCAGGGCGAAGTCGGTGTAGTTCACTCGAAAGATCGTCCTCAAGTCATAGTAGTCAACTACATTTAATTTCTGTTCATCTTCCACGCAACATATAGAAAAACAGACTGCGCGGAGGTACGGTGCACGCGAACCTTCGTGCCAATGGAAATATCCCGTCGGGTATATAGACACGTTTAAAGGCTGAAGACCACTCCTTGAGCTGTGTCGATTCGGGAGACAGTGTCATCCTTTGTGGACAAGCCGACCGATTAAGCGACGTTCTTTCCCCGTGACACCATAGATTGTAGATCGCCAAAGTTTCAAGCTAGTAAAGCGATATCATCGGCATAATAGAGATCATTCAACCTGCGTCCTGGTGCAAACTCAATATCGTTATCTTCATGCAGGGCCTTTTCGAGAGTCCATTCAATGGCGTAATTAAATAGAATGGGCTACAGGACACAGCCTTGTCGAACGCCAGACCGAATAGCGAACGGCTCTGGAAGGTAATTATAGGTTACAAACCACGCGATGGTGGAGCGGTAGGATGCCTTGGTCATAGCGATGATTTTTGATGGTAAACCATTTGATGACGTCAT